GGGGTTGATTCCAACGCACGGACGTTGGGGAGCGTTTACTGCACGAAACCTCTCATGTATTATTATTGGGAAAAAATGTTTACCAGGATAACTGTGGGCTAACTAAAATGTTCACTGGGTTTTCTTCTGATCTCATGCAAATATCTGACAGATTTTCGACAAAAATTGCGCAGGTATACTCTCTTTAAAAATCGAATTGCTTGCGTCAATATCACAGCTTACAATGGAGTTACGTTCATCCGGGAAACGACTTAATATGGCGTCGATATTCCTGCCGGAGACGTTAATATTGCCTGAGGCAAAGAAAACCGAGAGTTTTTGAGACAGGAAAGTCTTCTCGTTTTACATGGTTTTGCGTTATCGAAAATATTTGATATCAACAGTTGTTTCACGTGTAAAGGTACAAGAAGGTACAATCCTTTGCATGTGATACAGCTAGAATCGCCTTAATTTGAACGTTTAGGCAAAAACCCATCTTGCACGATAAAATAGTTGCATCCCTCAGGATAGACCCGCATATTTTGTCTTCTCCTGGGACCTCCGCCTGTTGGTAAGTGATTAAATGCGAAGCGCATGCTTATTACAATATAATTCGCATTTATATATTTGTCCAGATTCCTTAACGCGAGGTCTTGATTAATGTCTCCTTTACAAAGTGACCTAAACAAATCTTCAAAAAAACTGTTGATGTGACTCGCGTCTTGTAATTGCTAATGCATTCGACCCTTTATCCATGAATCTGGCAATGCGCTATCTGCCTCATCGCAGACTTTAAACTGGTCGGAGGAAGTTATTACATCTAAGATTCTGATCTCCGTCCTCACAAACGACCTTAAATTAGGTTTACAAGGTCTCAATAAACGTTGATTACTTGGTTTCTGGATTTTTGAGCCCTGAAATCACACCTTAAATCGAGCTTTGACCCCGGCACCTGGCGGTAACACATCTCAACCGGGGCCACTCGGTTTCAGCTCCAATTATTACGGTTTAAATGGGGGGGGGGGGTCATAAAGCGTGATATACTTGGAGGAAAACAACACCTTGCGGTTTTCATTGTGAAACCATACGTGGTTTCAAGTAGCCTGAAATAATAACATCCCGTCAAACGATGGTTCAAACTTCTCATCAAGACGGCGATTATTAAAAATATCATTTCCGCCCCTGGCTTGGTGTAGCTAAAGTGTGTAAACCTATACATTTTAAAGAAAGAATAAACTCCTCCTTGGCAAGAAAAGTAGGATAACTACCATTTCACTGTGGGCTCTCATCAAGAGAAAACTGCTCTTTCATTATGTTAGATTTATGCATCGAAAACCCTCTTAGAGAACAGGGATTAACGTTATTTTATTTTTTGAAACATAGTTGTTCCCTTACCTTTAGTCCACACTAATAAAAAGAGTTTTGGCATATAGTCACAGACGGATGTATTGTTCAATGAGAATGGTCCTAACTTTTGGATGACTTAAAAAATGGTTTTAATGCAGTAGTTTCATTTCTTTTTGATTTGGATGGCAGATCGAAGCCAAAAGGAATAGTTTTAATTTTTTTTTCAAGTTATATTTGCTGTTTGATGAGAGGTGACAAAAGAAAATTTAAAAAAATGCTGCGTTTAATTTTAAAGTTCAGCATTTTAAGGTATTCATGGTAAGAGAGGCAAATTTATCCCTCTATGGCACGAACTACTTTTGGAACTCAGATTCTGGGGGACACAAATCTATTTTGTAACTTTCATAAAAAAAATAAAGTACCAATTTTTTTTTCAAAATTTTAAATGTTTGGGATTCCAAAAAAGAAAGAACTAATGAAATTTTGCAAAATCATGCCACCGAAGAAGTATTCAATTTGTAAAAACTCAAAAAATGCGTCGTTACAAACTCGTAACGCTAAGCCATAAAAGACCATTTCATTTATTGAAGAAGAGGAACACTCTCATAAAAAGTTTTGGAGAAGAACATCGATCGTTGCTCTACCAACCTTGACCGGGGACGAGGACCACATATTCAAGTTGCATGACTTGGCAGTTTGAACCGACCAACACGAATCCGAGGAAAATTAACGACCCAATCATCACAAAAATCAAAAGATCGAAAAACCACCGGAGCAGAAGATACCAAGAGTGAACTTTGATCACGGAATCAATCGAAAAAAGCCATTAATGGCCGAAATGGAGTCGTTTTAAAAAAAAAAAAAACTTAAGCTGCAAGAAGTCCGAAACTGAAAAACTGAAAGTCACTCGCGATACGATCGCCTTGAGTCCAGTCCAGATTCACTTTAATGTTCAGAACGTCCTCAAAAATCTCATCTCCGACGATGACTGAAAACCCGTTTCTTCGACTGAGAGACAACGAAGATTTAGTCTTTCCGGCGGCGACTAAAATATTCAATGCCGCTTAAAATTCAAGAAAAACGAAATGCAAAATCAGCTCGGGTGCTGACAGGTAGCAAGAGGAAAGCTTAGAGCAACGAAGGTATTAGAGTGCGTTCCGAGCTACTTTCCATGCAGTGATCATATATGTGTATACAGCTCCTTTTTTTACATAGCTGACCTAAAAAAGAGAAAATAGGACCTCATTCTACGGTCAATCAGACGCAAAGAATAAAAGAACTCTATATTCTTTTCTATCACTTGTTAAGTCAGCATTGGCAAGACATCACTGAGAATAATATTCGGACTTTTCCATTGAAAAGAAAAAGAGAGGGGAAAAGTGGTCTGAATTATAACACCTGCTTATTTCAATTCCAAATTTCACGTTTTGAGAATAAAAGGATCATATCGATGACTAAATTCGAAAAATGCGTACATCAGATTACGACGTTTTAGGTTTGAGGGAGGCAACTTATGATAATTTCAACTATATTCCTGAGTGATTTTGGCGTCAGCCATAGATGTGGTTATATCAGCCATTGAGTATGGTTGATTCAAACATATTTCAAGCTGTCTCAACAAACACTTCTAACTGGCTCCAAAATTAGCCAGGAACTTAGAAAAAAAATTAAAATTATCGTACGCTGAAAAAAAGTGAAGTTGATTTAATATTTTGGATGTAAAAGAAGTGTGCGAGAACTTATAACATGCTGAATTACCCGCCACAGAGGTTAGTTTTACAACTTGACTTATTGCTAAAGTAACTGCTGTAGCGGGTTAATTCAGCATTTTGTAAGTTCTCGCACACTTCTTTTTACATCCATAATGTTAAATCAACTTCACTGTTTTTTTCGGTGATCCCATGGGTCCACTCAAACTTTATTGTTCTTGGGGAGGACTAGTTGATCCATGTTCCTGTTGAAATTTTTTGTAAACTTTTTTCACTCTTCTAAAAAAATCACACAAAAGTGCAACGAAAAATTTTCATTAGTTTACCACAAAGAAAATATTAAAAATCGAAGATGTTTAAACGCTGCTATTGAAGTACATATTTTTTGCGTTAGCCATCGATACTCCTACGTAGTGTTCTCATTTTTCCACAGCGTGCAACAACACAGAGAGTTTTAACAAAAAAGTTTGGTTAATACGGAAAGTAAAAAACAAAGTAACCCTACAGCCAACGGTTGACAATTCCAAGAGAAAATTCCAGCTAGTTTGCTCGAAGAAAGTCAATGAAAAATGAGTGGTGATTAACAACATGGAAATCTGAGGAATGTATTTTCCTAGTCTCTCTATTGTTTTTTGCTTTAAATTCACCGCAAACTGTACCAAAATCAACACAAAATTTGTGTTGGTTTGTGTTCCACTTCCATTATTAAGCGAAATGGACACAAAAGCACAGATATGGTTATCAGTGAATGTCTTTTTGGCTGTATTATTCTTTTGCGCTTGATCTTCGATGATCTCTTGCGGCTGTTTGCGATTCCGTGGATGTCGCTTGAGCCAAGGAAAGGTATAGCTGAATTTGAGCTTATGACCTAGACACTGCACTGTGGCCATCGGCGCTCTTTCTGAGACCTGACCTTCAGAGGTGCACCTTATAACAATCAATTTGCTTCTTGGGAAGTTCATTTGCATGCACCCGCAGGACTCGGCGAAGTTATTCTATTCGCGGTCGGTTTCATTCATCATCTGGCTGTATTTCTGCCAAACGGAACCAAGTGTATTAAGACATGAGCCCCGAGACCCATAAGAATATATGCATGACAGGGCTCACGTTATAATGAACATAGTTCCGTTTGGCAGAAATACGTCCGTCTATGGTTTCCGGGTCGAGAAGAATGGGACTAGGACGATAGACTGAGATGCCCCGTAAAACTCTCCTAAGATCAGCCTTAATCACCATGTCTTCAGAATGGAGCTTTTGCATGTGTGAGAGATTAGCGATTTCAGTACTGATTCCTCTTTAAAATTGCGCGAGAAACACGTTGGTGCCACTGCTTTTCTCTGAAATCAACTCCAAAGCTCAGAAAAAGCTCTCAAAGTTGAGGTCGTAATTAAGGAGATAACACATCCCATGCCACACTGAGAGTCCTCTTTCACATCAAGACAAACTCTCTGTGCGAATATAGGGAGCAAATAAATCAGCAGGGTTGCCGTGTTTTCAGTTTTGGAGTAACCCTGTTCGAACGTTCGGCATATATCGTCGCTTGACTGACATAAGGGCGTAACTACACTTAGATATGACCCCGGGTAAGCATTGAGTTAAATGGGCGGTAGGGTTCATCACGCAGTGTAGTTGCGTCCTTATGTCAGCCAAGCGACGATATGACCAAACTTGGTTCATCAGTTCACTTTACCGCTCGAGTTCGGTCACACGAACCGAAATTTTGGTTTGACAAACCGAAAATTCAGTACGACAAACCGAAAATTCAGTTTGACAAACCGAATTAGTTGGGATAATATGGAACGCCGATCTTTACATACGACCAAACTTTTTTTTTTTTCAGGGTAATGTCTTAAGTTTTGTCTATCAATCTCAATATTGAGCCCGCTGTTGGGTATTATGGTGAAGTGAGGAGTAACGTGTAAGAATAAGAAAGGAACGTGGAGGGTACTCACTACTAGTACTCACAAGGCAGCCAGGGAATATTGACCTCGATGCGGTTCCCGCGGCCCCAGTCCAGAAGTCCGGTGGCACTCAAGTGGACCAGGCTGGTAAAGAGCACCACCGCCAACCAAGCTCGTGATATTGCCATAGCTCCTGCAACAGACCAATCAAAAATCAGCTCATGTTTTCACAACGAAAAAACCGATTAAAAGCATTCATTCTACGCTGAAAAATAAAATTCGCCCGGGAAAAAAATGGATTGCTGATTCAACAATTATATTTTTCAAAAAATATGTCCAATATGTTTCAGATGTACATTTTATAATCATGGAAAGCTAATTTAACCACGTGGGAGGTTCAATTCAAATTTTTTATTGTAAAATCTACATTGAAACATGTAGGACACTTTTTCTTAACTATAAAGTTGTTAAATCAGCAGTATTATTTTCATCCGTGCGCTTGGTTTAACCGAAAGTCCGGTGTTCCATAACGATACAACTATTCGGTTTTTCAAACCGAATGTTCAGTTCACGAGATCGAAACTTTGAATGAATCGAATTGAGAGGAAAAGCTATAGTTCACACAAATTGAACGTTTGATTCCTTACAAATCGACATTTTGTTTTTATAAACGGGAGAGTTCGATCGATATGGAATACACTAACACTAGGTCGAACTTTTTTTTCAGCGTATTATCGTATCTTAATCGCGTATCTCAATAAGAAATGTTAAAAAAATCATTTTGAAGGATCTTTTTCACTGCGATAAAGAAGAATTTCTGTGGCTATCGGTGAATTGTCTCGGACAAGGAAATATAATTAATCAGATATTTTATTCTATACGTATGTTTAGCCACTAGCCACCTGCAGCTAGTTCCTCTTTCGTGATTCGCGATTTGAATCTTTGACTCCCTCTCACGTTTGGTGACCTATCACGTACTCTCACATGGTTGCAGGTGGTTTCTCATCGGAATTTCTTCTAAAGACAGTACTAAATGCAAAAATAGTTTGAAGCGAAATTGGAGGCGAGGGAAGTCTCCCCTTTTACCATTTCAACCAAAAGAGTATTTTTTGAGACAAAACGAAAGGTAATTTTAATACAAAAGGTAATTTTTGTTTTGAATTTATAGTTTTAGGGAGTAAAGATACAATTTGTTTAGGTGATCAGTTCATATTTGCAAGTTAAAAAAAGTTGCACAATCTTGGTGACATTGGAATGCTTGTGGTTCGCCTTTTTGCAAATGCAATCCAAATCTGAATCGTAATGATGATAGTCCAATGCGATCGCGTCTCACAAGTTGTAACTTTGAATGACATGGGGATAAAAAATAAGTCCACTAGTTTATTAGGGCACTCTTTTCATCCCCATGAGTCTCAAAATATCCTACGGTTTTGGTCCATCGACCAAGTTCTTATGGTTGATCCGAGCGGAAAAAAGTTACTCAAAGTGATTATAAACAAGGGAATTTTTACCTTGCACTGAAAAAAAATTCGGTGATGAGACTCGAAAGTTTGGTGTTCCATCCCAAATATTTGGTTAGTCAAACTGAACTTTCGGTTCGTGTAATCGAACGTTCGGCATATATGATCAAAATTTGTTCGTCAGCTCACTTTACCACATAAGTTCTGTTACATGAACCAAAAGTTCGGTTTTACAAACCGACAATCCAGTTTGACGAACCGAATTAGTTTGGATGACCTGGAACACTGAACTTTGTTACGTACGACCGAACTTTTTTTCTCAGTGTGTAACATTTTATGGGGGATCTCTTATATATCCTCCTATCCCACATCTCCGGGAAAATCCCGTAATTTCTGTTTAAATTGGCACCTTCAGTTTCAGCGCGGAGCTACTCACTTCCGTGTGGCGCTCGCCGCAAAAGACTCAGAGGTTAAATGCTCTTTGACTGCTGTGATTAGGTTTCCCGTCTTTGTGTGTGGAGCTCAGCGCTCAGCCCCCCGTTCAAGAAGCACAAAAACCTGGCCGTCTTATGTAACGGACTCATGCAGCAAAAAAACGCGGTCGCACTTAACGGGGAAGTTAATGGGAATTGCGGTTTTGGAGCCCAAGATCACAACACTGGTTCAGGAGGAAGAGCATTACCTCAATGCAGATGCTGAGCTGCTCTTCGCGGATAATACAGCAGTGGCGTGGCGTGCTTTGCGATGTATCGATTGATCTGCCACGAAAACCTGTGGAAAAGAATCGATTATCAGAGTGTTCCCGACGAACACCTTAATAATCGATTCTTTACCAATGCTTCAAATGGGGAAATATCGATACATCGCAAAGCACGCCACGCCACTGTAATGCAGCCTCCAACCGCACTGACACTTTAAAATTGTTTCGAACGAGCGTGGTATATTGCGCTCGGAAGAAAAGTGTTGGCAGGGCAAAATAACGTGGTTATTTCCCAAGACAATGTTGGGTGGTGATATTTTACACATTTTTTGTGTCAATGGTTCATCAAGTTTAGTGGTTGGGTTTTCGGTACTTATTACTTTTTGAGCAAGCGCTCATTTTGGTTTGTATCGTTTACAGCCCATTTAGAAACAACCAGCTCGCATCATTCAACCATTTTGTTACCTGATAGTTCTAATTTCACGCTCTAGCATGGGGGTGAGGTTTTGCCTTCAGAAACTCAATTTAAACGAAAGAATTACAGAAATATTGCGGAGAAAACGAGATGATCATGATCGTGTAGTTGCTCCACAAGCATTCGGCGCTTGTAGACATGCAGTTTTCAAAAAATGTTGGAAATTCACATTAATCATCAGTCTCATAAAAGCAATTATATCTATGCATGATTTATCAAACTAGCTTTATTTTTTATTCATTTCTGTTTTTTTTTTTATTTCTGCGGAAAATTTACACTACTTAATTATATTAAAGACACTACTTGACTTTAAGCTGTCTTAAGTTCAAAATTAAAGACACCAATTATTGAGTATTTTTGAAATTAAGTATACAAATGTGTCTCAACAGGCAGGAACGCGGGAGTAAAGTATTCAATGCACGTTCGTCCACCTTTGAAAATGGACGAATACTTGAAGATTCATTCATCGCCGAAAATAGCTTCAGATCTTTTTTTAAAAAAAGGAAAATCTTGAATTTTTAAACAGTGAGGAGGGGCAAGCTCAAAATACTTCATTCCACCGGTATTGACCAATTTTTACTATTTCTGTGTAAAACCTCGATTTTTCTTCTTTCTTCCCCTTCTTTTTTTATATGCTTTCCCAAATTTCATCACGTGCCCTAAGTTTTTAGTTAAGTATTATTTTAAGTAAAGAATGGTGCTCTCTATGTTGCCTGTTTTTTTTTTAATCCTTTGCTGTGGTAAATCAGAGTTATTCAGTTGTGTCAGTCCTCAAGGCAAATATAATTTTACCAGAGATTGTCACAGATTGAATCGCGAGGTCATTTAAAGCTACATATCATCATAATTTACATCTTTCAATCTGTTTAATTCGTGGTTCATTACCCAGCAGTGTCCCAGGGAGCTGCAAAGGCTGAATCGGCGTAACACTTAATTATCACTTGAACACTTTCAATCGTTAACCGGCACTTGAACTAAATAATGTCAGATCTTCGCGAAAAGAATATACACACGGACACCCAAGAAATTGCGGAGTATAAAGACTAAAAAATGCTATGTGCGTCACAGACAGTCAACGACTAGTTTTAAACTGGCAAAAAAGAAGAGAAAAAATCTCGGAGTTATTTTTACCTGGATCTATTTTGATTCGACAAGGCATTTTAGAGCCAGGATTCCTTTTTAAGGGTGATCCTTAATGAGACCAATGAGGCGCCACCCCCACATTTCCGGAGTGTCGCGTTCATCGTGTTCGCGACGTTGCCAATGGTCACCATTTTCAAAGAATATTAGGGACATGTGCTTGGAAACCTTACCATGATTTTTTCAAAAATTTTAATCTAAACCGAATGAACTATATTAATATTAACGCCATCAATTATTGATCATATTGCGTGATTCCTTTCGAGAATGCGAAATGACTACTCGGAGATGTTGTGTGAAAAGAAGTGAACCCTAACGGTGAAGAGCCTGTATAAACTTTGTGTCATCAATTTACGTAATGCAACAAATCATGGTCTTCTAGCCTAATTTTCTTTTAATAAAATAATCTTGACTCGCAGTGCACTCATATTTTATGCATCGAATCTGAGTCAAAGCGCGACGATTACTCTGCGTTGCTATTCTAATAATTGGAATTTTGACGCAGTTACTGCATTGGTGAGTACTCATTTGTCGTCCCTCTCATTGAAGGGGACGTTTCTTGAAGGAATTTTCCTCTTTAGCGTGGGCGAGTCTCATCTAATTTACTCTCAAATTATTGCGCTCAAATCGGACACTAGAACTATTCAAGATGCGTATACCGTTCGGATCTATTTATGCCAAAAAGAACTATGTTACGACCTCTAACCTCTTACTAGCAACATGTCCGTTCTCTCCAGGAATTACTCTGAATGATCGAACTCATTGTCAGAAGAACGTTTCTGAACCCTCTAGCATTGTAGTTGTGGCGCTAAAGACTCGTAGCAAGGCGCCCTCGTTAAAGTAAATAAAAATCGATGTACATTTTCCTGACACGCTCTGATTTCCTGCTGAGAAAAGGGGGAAACGCATCCCGCAGTACACCGATAATTTATCAATTACCGCACTGGAACCTCCCGGTAGACGCGCGAGAGACGCCAAACGCGAACGCGAGACGTGGGACCCGCAAAGATTCACTTCCTCGCCAAGCAGTGTTGCCAAATTGTTACTGACTTATTTATTGNGGGGGGGGGGGGGGGATACTAAAAAAGACATTTGCCTTGAGACCGCCCGGGTAATTTTTTTCACAAGTCTCACAGAAAACGCCCCGTGGAGCTGAACTAATCGATTATCCCTCCACATTCGAAACGCTCACCCGCGAGTAAGTTGCGAACTTTACGCTCTTAACTGAGATCCTAAAGATTGGCCCTGGGAATTTCTAGATTAAATCTAGGACTCAAGGCGAAATAAGAGCACCCCCATAAAAGCCAAATCCCCTTCTTCTTCTCTTTTTGTAAATTCAACGAGCCTACCGGATACTCCCGTTCAATAGCCTATCGGCTTCTAAGGGGTGGTGACGAAGTTTTAATTCCGGAAATACT